ACACAGTATCTACACAAAAGAGAAAAAGAAACGGGTGCGTAGGCACGAGAACGATCCGCCCTCGGTGCAGGTGAATGCGTCTCCTACGATGGAGAACAGTCCCGAGCAGGACGAAGCCAAGACAGTCCTACACGAGGACAGCATACGGGATCCTGTCTCCCCACAAGAGCAAAAGATTGTCGACCCAGCCATCATAGAGTCACCAGACTCACCAACAAGTGTGCCCGCAACAACAGCCAACATCGAACAAGAAGACCTGGACTACACTCAAAGCAATGCAAATTTTCCACACGAACCAGTTCCCGAGTTGGACGATGATCTCAAAGACCTGTCATCAGTGCCTGTGACAACACTCAACATCAAACAAGAAAGCCTGGACCATACTCAAAGCGGCGCATATTCTCCATACGAACCAGTTCCCAAGTTAGAAGGTGGTCTTGCAGTCAGTATTGACATGTTAGAAGGTGTGCAAGGTTTTCCCGGCCAAATGTTCTCCATGCCGTCCCAAAAGCATGAAGACATCAAAGCTTCTTTGGACGATACCATTGAGTGTAGTGTTGGCGTATCTCAGCCTTTGACTGGCCATGACGGTGGTGTTACTTGTGAAGATGGCATCCAAAAACGAGAAGGTTCTGCTTTTCTGGGGCCCGACCAGCCGGTGTCAACCTATCCTGAGACCTTCTCGAGTCTAGGTCTTGATCAGAGCAAAGAAGCGCCCAGCTCCTTCGACTCTGCGAGGAACAGAAGGTCTTCGAGGAACATAGGGAGGAAGCGATATTTCGAGGAGGTCGAGGAATAGCCGTAGCAGCAGGAAGACGACAGCTCAGCTTTCCACTTTGGCGTCAACACCTCGCTCGCGCAAGTCCCGCAACGTGCTCTTTTCAGCGTAAATCCAATTCACGCCTGCCTGAAGGTCGAAACAGTAGATTCCCCTTCTTCAAGAGAGGTATGCACTAGCTTGCTTGAGCAGTATTTCTCCGGTCTCCATAGTGGTGCCATCCATAGATCATGCGATATGTAACCGACGAACTGTTTCTCGAGACCTTGTTGTGGCACAATCCGTCTGTCAATTTTCTCCGTCCCCCACCTCGATCAAGACCCATCACCTGCTTAAAACATAGCGTTTCGAATGTATCTTTCAAGCAGCGTCAATCACGGAGACATCAACACGGGGGCCAGCATAGAGCCTAGGTTTAGAGAAAGAGTGGGAGCCCCTCGATGTTCGTAGTGGTGTTACTTTCATTGAGGCACTTTCTCTGATGCTCCAGCTAGAAATACCAATCCTGAAGGTGACGGTTCGGCGCGCACGGTCAACTTCTCGAATAATCCAGATCAACGTCTTACAATTACAAAACCTGTCCATTGTTGTGCCAGATGGCCGCCACAGAATACTAACCTACGTACTGGCATTTCTCCTCCAATTCTCGTATTCAGGATTCCCAAGTTTCTCCACTGTACCTTGGCTTCCATATGTAACTATCACACCCTCGAACGAAATGATTCCAACGTCTATCTGTCCGTTTCCTTCCACCCATCACAATTGATTTCGCGGGAAAGATTTTACCAGTTTCTGTGCAGATACCAGGGTATCTCTCCAAGTTTCGAAAGGTCGCTGTGAATCCCGTAAGATTTTCGATAATTCGGGCCCAATACGTGAGAAGGACAAGGAGGTAGGAAGGTGGTGCCCCCCTTGTCATATCCAATACGGTGGTGAAAGCCGCTCCGAACAGTGCGAGATTCAGTAGTAATATCTTAGCATTGGAAATCAGGCAGTGTCTCATGTATTAGAGTATCCGTATCCTCGGAAATTTGACCAGTAACACAGTACCTTCAGGAACCTGCTAGACTCATATTCCTAGCGGCGAAAACAACCAATTACATGCTAATTCTGGATTGAAGAATCGATTGATTGCTCTTGCTATCTCTATGAAACAATGTTGTGTGGAAATGCACCCAATTAGTGTTTCACGCCAAGACCGCAGCACCAGGTGAGCTGACAGGCCACGTGTCCGATCAAGCCACGTGACCGGCGTCACACTTCTTAGACTGTCCGGAGGAGTAGCAGAGCGGCAAGAGCTCGAAGGAACGGGTGGAGTATGCTTGTTCTGCATGTTGACTTTAGGAGATACTGCCATTGTTGATCTTTATATCATCAATAGTAAAGCCATAGGGGAGTCGAGGTGCACATGAATCTAAAAGGGTAAAGAAACGATGAGGAGAAGCGAGGAAACGAGTATCCATGGGACTAATGTAGATACATTTTACCCTTATATACTCATCAACTCGCTACTCCGTTCTCATCCGGCCGATTGCTTATCTTTGAGATATAGGAGTGGCTGCGAGAGCATAGGGTTGACCCATAAATAACGGCAAAAAAAGTCGACCGAGTTTTAAACAAATCCTGTCGATTCAAACCCGATGGTTTCGCAATCTCCAAAACAACCTCTCTGGTAGCGTCTCGACTAACTTGTTCGAAAAGGTAATATCGAGAAGGAGAGAGCTATAATCCACCAAGATACTTTGGTCGAAAGGATGATCGTTTTTCTGTCTAGAAAACTCTCGCCTTCCCTATCTCGGCAGTGTAAGCACCCCAATCGTCTAGCTATTAGCATCAATTCAAATATAATTCTCGCACCTCAGCGACCTTTTCCCGTAATTGACGGTGATCTCCTTGCCATGAAAGATGTGTCGCCGGCTAACCGGCACACAGGACATCGACACTTTTCCCTTCTCCAATACTGTTGGCTGTAGTGGACAGTGATTTCTTCCCCATCATAAATGTTTTCTTCAGCAACGATTGCGATCCTAAACTTCCCTGATACCCTCATGCCCTTGAAGCGGGCCAATGGGTCACAACTGTGATTGAACAGTCGAGAGATATTGCCGGACTCAGCACAGTTAATCTGAGCGACTGTGGGCTCGCCGAGGATATCGCCCCGGTCCACCTGTATACATTGACCGTTGTCGTACGTATTGGGAGGCGCTAATGTCCCCGTAAGGAAGGCGATAATGGTGCCCTCCGAATACGCGATTTGGCCCGCTTCCTTCGCGATGGCTTGCAGACCTCGATTTTTGCCCCCATATTTGTCGTTATAATTCCGAATGCGAGGCGGTGTCTCGTGGCGAATGGCGGTGCAATGGCAATTTCTCTCATGGCACAGGTCGCAAGGGCAGTTGCTCTGATGACACACATTGCACTGAATCCCTCCAGAAGGAGGCAGGGATGTTGGGTCAACCGGCCACGGTGAGTCGTTGGGCCAGTCTTCAGGTCTGGGCCACTCTGGATATGCACCAGGATCATATATGTTTTCGTCCTTTGCTGGGAAGTCTTCCAGAATGGAGACCAACTCTCCGTCCGAAACTTTGTCCAATGATACGCTCAGGTTTGCCCAGATGAAGTCGACATCGTCTGCCGCGGGATCCAGGGAGTGTTCAAATGCTCTCCCCGCGACGCAGAGAGCGGGCATATACTCGGTCTTCAGATGAGAAAGTAACGAGGCAAAGTCTCCTTCGTCGAGGTTGAGCCCAAGATGTGGGAGAAAAGCTAAATTTTTGCGTTTCGAAGGGGATGAAGCAAAGGATACCTGGAAACGCCATGCAGTATTCCCGCCACTTCGCCCCCTGAGTTCGATGGTACTGGCACTGGCGGCGGTTCATCCCCGTGCGCTGAAGAATTTTTGCAATGACAGCTGGGTCACTCCTTAGACGGCCTTGGTTGATCTCGTCGATATGATCGGCAAGACGGACTTGGAACAACCGAGTAAGGAAGTTATGAAAGGCAG